TAATAAATAAGTAAATTTAAAAAAAAAAAGAAAAGCTCCCCTTCTAATCTTGACAACTATAAGTGGGACTAACCTACACTCACCCTGTGGGACCACCAAGGAATGGTGCCTGCTTAATGTTATCAAGATACTTCCTAGATAGTTCCCCCATGCAGACTCCTGTAGCCACGTACAGCAGGCTAACCTCAGGAATGGCAGCTGGGTGTTTTCTCAGTCCCCAGAGACTACCTGGCTTGCTTACACTAATAATCAAGTATGCATCTTGTAAAATGTTTACACTGGAAGAAACCCCACTCCTCTGTGTCTTTGTTATACCACCAGTGTTCACCTATAATTAGAAAGAGAACAGGACTCACCTAAATCTAGATTCTGGGTTTCCTCTGTGTGGTAAGCTATCCCCATTCTCATCCCCCTGTTGTTGGGAGCAGGAATCTCGGGCTGGGTTCCACTGCAGTTGGCACTTCAGTCCTAACTGTGGGAGGTGAACACTTCAAGGAACTCAATGCTTAAGTAGGTGAAGACCTAGGCCATCTGAAAAATTCTGTTTACTGTCTGGAAACCCAGGTAGATCCAAGTAGAGGGTTTTGTTTTGTTTTGTTTTTTTCCCCAATAACACTGGTTCTATGCCAACCAGTCAGGGATACTTAGCAAAAGGTTAGCCCAGAATCTGATAACTGGTACCAATCCTTGGTCTCCCAGTCCCCTTGGTTAACTACACTTGTGGCTATTACTGAGCCTTTAATCTTTTTCCTCCTAGCCCTCAAAAGAAGTACCTTGAACTCTGGTTGCAAGATTTGGGATATATGCCTTCAGAATATACAGTTGGCTTTTGCATTCAACACCCATGGAATCAACCAACCAGAGGTCAGCAAGAACATTGTTTGCTTTGGATTTTCAGGACAGGTTCTCAAGTAGCCCAGGCTGGTCTCAAACTATAGAAGATGGCTGGCTTTTAAGTACTGACCCTGCTGTCTCCACCTCTCAATTTCTGGGACTATGAATGTGCACCACTACAGCCAGTGATTTTTTTTTTTCTTCTTAGTTGTACTTAGGGCCTGGGGGAATGCTTTAGTGGGTAAAGTGTTTGCCATGCGACCATGAGGATCTAAATTTGGATCCTTAGTGCCCGTGTATGAAGTCAGGCACAAAACTGTAATCCCAGCTTTGGGAAGCAGCAAGGAGAGGACCTCAAGGATGCACTGACCACTGTGATCAGACTGGAGAGTTCCAAGTTTAGTGAGAGACTGTCTCCAAATAAACAAACAAACAAACAAACAAACAAATAAATAAATAAATAAGATAAAGTGAGGTGGGATTCCCCTCTGCATGTTGTGAATATCATTGGTTAATAAAGGAACTGCTTTGGGCCTATAGCAGAGCTATAGGGGAACAGAGCTAGGTGGAGAAAACTAAACTGAATGCTGGGAGAAGGAAGGCGGAGTCAGGGAGAAGCCATGTAGCCCTGCTGGAGACAGACACTGAAACTTTGCTGGTAGGCCATGACCTCGTGGTGATGCACAGATTAATAGAAATGGGTTAAATTAATATGTAAGAGCTAGCCAATAAGAAACTAGAGCTAATGGGCCAAGCAGTGATTTAAAGTTTAATTTAAATGTGTGGTTATTTTGGGGCTGAGCAGCTGGGAACCAACAAGTGACCTTTCTCCAACAGTGAAGGAACCATATTGCTCAGCAGTTAAGAGCAGGCATTGCTCCTGCAATGGCCTAGAGTTCAGTTTCCACGACACCCATCAGGTGTAGACGGAAGTTTCTGTCCTGCCTGGTCCTGCAGTCATTCAGTCCAAACAAAACATACAGAGGCTTATACTAATTATAAACTGGTATTGCTCAGGCTTATTAACTAGCTTTTAGAATTTAAATTAACCCATAAATTTTATGTATGTTTAGTCACATGGCTTGGTACCTTACTCAGTGAGGCTTCCTCTGTGTCTGGCTGGTCACTGCAGACTGAGCCTTTCCTCTTCCCAGAATTCTCCTAGACTGGTTGCCCAGGAGATTGGAGACTGCACTTGTGTTTCCTGGCCACCCAGACCTGAATAATCACACAGAAACTACATTAATTACACCACTGTTTGGCCTACTAGCTCAGGATTCCTATTAACTAACTTTTACATCTTAAGGTAACCCATTTGTATTAATTTGTATTTTACCATGAGGCTAATGGTTTACTGGTAAGATTTTCGTGTCCTTCTCCTTTGGCAGCTACATGGTGTGTGCCTGACTCTGCCACCTTTTTCCCTGCATTCAGTTTAGTTTTTCCACCTAGTTATACTCAGCCCTGCCATAGGCCGAAGCAGCTTCTTTATTAACCAATGGTAATAAAACATATTCACAGCATACAGAGGGGAATCCCACATCACCCTGTCTATACTTCCTGGCTGGCTACTGGCCAATCAGCATTTTTTTAAACCAATATGACTGACAAATCTTTATAGAGTACAAAAGCATTATCCCACAGCAATTAGGTAGCTGAAACTGCCTTTAATGCCAGCTCTGGGGATCCAGCGCCCTCTTTGGACTCCCCAGGCACCACATGTATGTGCAAGTACCCTAACTTATATACACATAGTTAAAAACAGTAAAAGGAGAGCTGGGTAATAGTGGCTCATGCCTTCAATCCCAACACTAGGGAGGCAGAGGCAGGTAGATCTCAGTGTCTCTGTGAGTTCGAGGCCAGCCTGGTTTATAGAACTAGTTTTAGGACAGACAGAGCTGTCTTAAAAACCAAAAAGAAGAAAATAGTGGAGTGAAATGGAGAAAGACACCCAACAGTCTCTGGCCTCCACACATGCATAGAAGGGGAAGTGTAAATACACACATACACATCACACACCAAGTTTTTAAAAGTGTATCTAATCCGGGTGGTTGGTGGCACACACCTTTAATCCCAGCACTCGGGAGGCAAAGGCAGGTATCCACCTGTGAGTTTGAGGCCAGCCTGGTCTACAGAGTGAGTTCCAGGACAGTCAGGCCTGTCCCACAGAGAAACCCTGTCTCAAAAAAAAAAAAAAAAAAATATATATATATATATATATATATATATATATATAAATATAAAAATCAGGCATGGTGGTACATACCTTTAATCCTAGCACTAAGGAGGCAGAAGCAGGCTTGAGTCCTGGAACTCTACAGAGTGAGTTCCAGGACAGTCAACGCTGTTACATAGAGAAAGAAAAATAAAAGTACATCAAAGCATAGAAACAATGTGTGTAGGTCATATTATATACCATTTTATATGAGGAATTTAAACACCAGAGAAATTTGGCATGTGGAAGAGAAAGCAGTCTCCTGGAATCCACTCTTTGTCAACACTGAATATATACTACACCTTTTTTCCTTTAAAGATCTATTTTTATTATTTAAGATGATGTGTAGGTTTGTGTGTCTGAGTTGTGGGTATATGCCTGAGTGCAGGTACCCTGAGAGGCCGGAGGCATCAGATCCTCCAGAGCTGGAGTTACAGGTTTGCCACCGGATGTAGGTGACGGGAACTAAACTCAGGTTCTCTAAAGAACAGCAAGTATAGTGGTATATTATTTGTGTTTTGATAAACTTGCCTGAAGATCAGCGGGCAAAGCAGCCCTGCTAGTCAGCCATACAGGCCAGGTAATGGTGGCACACACCTTTAATTCCAGGACTCTGGAGACAGAGGCAGGCAGATCTGTTAGGCCGCCCTGGGCTACACAAGATTGAATCTGTCTGAAAGAGAAACAGAGCTCACACAAAGGCGACCCCAGCACTTGGGATCACACACCTTTAACCCCAGCACTAGGAAGGTGGAGATAGGAGCAATATAGGTGGGGAGAGAGACAGGAACTCAGTGGGGTGTGTAGCCTTTAGGATTCATGGAGACAGGATCTGAGATAGAGTTAAGAGCCAGTGGCTGGCTGCTTTGCTTTTCTGATCTTCAGGTTGAACCCCAGTATCTGTCTCTGGGTTTTATTAATCATGCAACAAGCAAGAGCTCTCCCAGCCACTGAGCCATCTTTACAACACCACACTTTTTTTTGATACAGGATTTGTGTAGTCCTGGCCTGCCTGACCTTGAGCTCAGAGGTTTGCTTGCCCCTGCCTCTTGGTGCTCAGACTAAAGCTGTACACTATCACACCCAACCCCTGTACTACATTAAAAAAAAAAAACCAAAAACCTGAGGGGTTTTTTGGAGACAGGGTTTCTCTGTGCTAACAGCCCTGGCTGTCCTGGAATTTGCATTGTAGATGAGGCTGGCCTTGAATTCAGAGATTCACCCGCCTCCTAAGTGCTGGCATTAAAATTAAAAGCGTATGCTACCATGCCCAGCTTTATATTTAATTACATAATTGTGCCTTTCCTTTATTCCCCTCTAATTCTTCCCATGTACCCACCTTGATCTCTTGAGTTCATGGCCTCTATTTATTACTGTTATGTATATACACATGTGTAAATACAATCTGCTCAGTCCATATGTCACCTCTATGTGTATGATTTCAGGTTTGACCTCTTGGTATTGGATAACTAATGTGGGATTCTTCCCTGAGGAAGACTATTTGCCCTGCTCTCAGTATGTCTTGGTTGCCTGTAGCTCTTTGTCAAAGGCTGAGGCCCCATCAGAGCTCCCCCTTCTACTGGTGCTATGCTCATTCAGGTCATGAATGAGACTGGCAGCCATGTTGATGAGACTTCATAGGTATAGCTTCTCTGACATTTCTAGATGAAATCTCACAGCAAACCTGTTCCCCTGGCTCTGACAGTCTTCCTACCCCTCTTCCGTTGAGATCCTTGAGCCTGGGGTGGAGGATTTGTGTTGTGGAAGCATATTTTTGTGGAGGAAAAACGACATTGCAGCCCACCCTTCTGAGGTTAAATTTGTCATTTTCCTGGTCTAAGATGAAAGCTAATTTAAGAGAGAACTAGCTAAAGCCCCTGTCCTTTTTGGAGTCTTGTCAAGAGAGGTATGAGCCCACCAACCCCAGTAAGACCAAAAAAATGAGACACAATTGCTCATGGATGTGTATTTTAATAAAAATAATTCTGTCAAAATACAACAGGAATTTTTTTCATCTCAAGTACAATTTAATAGGATGTTTGTGTTAGAATTCTGTCAACCCTCTCCCACCACAAATTTCATGCTAATGCTGAATATCAACTTGCAAGGACAAAGGCAGAACCAGTGTGCACAATGTGGAGGACGCCTGTTTCAGCTGGAGTTGAGAATGGAGGGGGCCTATGTGAAGAGGTGGGCGCTGCGGACAGCCAGAAGCCACCATCTGGCCACAGGTCCAAATGCCTGCGATTGGTGTTGAAGTAGGGCTCTGATGTCCAGCTGCCAAATGACATGCATACCTGAGTTGTGAGCAACCAAAGGAACGTTCAACCCCAACAGTCCTCTGCCTCATCTCTTTTTTGTGCTTAAGGGCTGGGTAGCCAGGCAGTCCTCACTTCCCTAGCTTGTTGTAATATTCTTGTTCTGCCAGCCTAGACCCAGCCACAGACCCACATAGGAAGGAGTGGGGATCTGTCAGCTTGGTCCTTGCTCTGCAAGGAGCTACCACCTGGTGCCACAAAGGGAAGGTGAGTAGGGAATGCTGCTCACCAAGGGCTGGAACCCAACACAACCAGGTCCTCTTCCTGCCTACAAGGGTCAGGTCCAGCCCCTTACTAAGCTGTAGCCAAGAAACTATTCCCACTCCAGGCTAGGAGGATTGGAGGTACATATGGGGCTCCTCTGGCAGCAGGACTGGACTAACAACTGGCTCCAGCAGCTTGATTTTGGCCCTCCCCACAGCTTGTGGGGCAAAGGCTTATGTCCCCAAAGTGAGCTGTCCAACTAGGACAGGGAACCCCTCTGGAGAGGAACCGAGTAAACAACTTGGACTCAGCTGAAACAGTGAGATAAGGCACAGAAAATGGGGAGGTGGCCATGGGTACTGAGAGCGAGCCAGAGAGACACACAACCCCATACAGCACACAGCAGTCCCGAGCCCTCCAAGGCCCTCTCAGCCACTCCACAACCCAAGTCTAAGCACCCATCCCCACCCTTGTCACACTCCTAAAGGTCCCTGCTGCTCAGGCACTGCTGAAGTCATGCCAACCTAACCCCTCACAAAGCTCATCTGCCATTTTGATTTAGGTCTAGACAAGACTGTCGAACCCATACAAATAGTTAGTTCTGACTGTGCCACTATTTGCTGTGTGACTTTGGTCAAGTCACTTAATCTCCTGGGCCTGTTTCTTTAACTGGCAAAGAAGAGTACTGGTGGGGATGTTTTCTAAACTCCACTGCTCTGCAAATGCCACTGGATTTCATTTCCAAACGTGAAGACGACCACTGTAACAGCCTGATATTTCCAACCTGAGTTTGGAGCTTGGGTATTCCAGCCTTCGACAGGATGAAATTTCCTTTACACAGGACAAGACCTCCTAACAAGCTGCTAACTAAGGCCCTGTCAGGAACCAAGAAAATGTAGTAGCCCTCAAACCAAATTTCTGGAAGGTGTCAGTCAGGGCCCTGGCTCGTGACAGCTGGCTTAATTCATTTTTGTCCAGCTGTGAGCCTGGTGAAGCCTGGCAGGCACAGAATATCTCAAGCTCTCCCACTGATCTCTGTGTCCACTGGCAGAACATGAGCTCACCCAGCCCAGATGCAGACGCAGACAGGGACTGGAAGCCCACTTGTGGCTCTGCCTTCTCTTTGCAGAGGCTGCCTGGGCCTTTCACTCACCCTGTGAAGCAGGTAAAGAGACCAGTGCCCTTCCAGGTCTCCTCTCCACAGCCCCTCCTCTTCCTTGGCAGACAGTCCCCTCCATGGATGGCCTACCCACATCCCGGAAGCATCTCAGCCCTGTGGTGGTGGGGTTTTTGTTGTTGCTCCACCAGCTGTGAGGATCCATGTGAAACAGTTGGTGGGGCATTTGTAAGGCCCATGGAGTCTCCTCTTCCTAGGAGTCGCTGGGGCCAAGCTGTAGGGAGCAGCCTCCCATAGCTGTAGGGAAATCTGGACCAGGAAGCCAAAGGTTCCATCCACTCTGGACCAGTGGTCCAAGAACCAGCCTCCACGAGGTACCAACTTCTCCACAGGAAACATCAATCCCATCAGAGCTGGGCAGTGATGCAGACCCAGGCAGGAGGAAAGCAGCCAGCCTGTCGTTAAGGGCCTCTGTCCTGGGAACGGAGTCTTCCTCTTGGCAGCCTGGCATACAGCAGCTCTTGGGTTGAAGGCAGGTAGTTTCCAGGCATTCAACTGAGAGTAATGAATTATTTGGCCATCTTAACAACAAGGGAAGGCAGGGCACTGAGATGGGAGAGAGGGGCAAGGCAGGCAGTGAGGCAGGGTGGAGTGGTAGACAGCGTGCTGGCTACAGACCCTGTGTTCCCTTGCTTCGCTGTGTGCTCCTGTGCCACCTCACGTCCCTGAATCCCCGAACCTGCAGTTCTGTGTTTTGTCTACCTATAAGGGGCCTAGAGACCCACACCTCTTGGGATGCTGCAAAGCAGCTTAGCCTGACCTTGCCCACCAAGCAACCTCAGCTGGACCTGTGGCCCAACAAAAAGGGAGCCTAAAATAAACAAATCACTTGATTGAAGTGACAAGAGATGATTCTTTTTTAATGAGTTGGACTCAAATAAAAACACATGGTGTCTGGACAGCCTCACCCAAGAGGTGCTGGACCACTAGTGCTACGATAAATACTGTGTCTTTTTTTAATATATATATATTTATATATATATATAATCTCATTTGTTTGTTTGTTTTTTTACTTATGAAAATAATAAGCTATCATCAACCTGGATAGGCTTCAGTACTAAATTAGCAGAAACCAGCTCAGCACAAACTCTCCCGAGATAAACACTGGTGGCTCAGTCAGGAGGAAAAAAAACAAGATTAAAAAAAAAACAACAACAACAACAACAAAAAACCCAACCTCTCCTCAAAACAAAATCTCCTTTAAAGGAGAAGCCGCTACATGAGTAACCAGCCAATACTGTGTCACAGGCCGCTGCACGTGGAAGGGAGAAGGAAAAGAAGGAAAGAAGAAGGAAAGGACAAGGGAAGGAGGAAGGGAGGGATGGAGAGAGGGAGAGAGGGAGGGAGGGAGGGAGGGAGGGAGGGAGGGAGGGAAGACCGGCCAGGTAGGAGGAGTGGGACTCTGCCCACGGCTTCCAGGTCTCTGTACCAGGTGCCTCTGGAGGGCAGGGTTGCTCCAGCCCTAGGGCTGAAGGATGGCCAGCCAGAGCCAGCCAGGAAGGTCAGCTAGTGCAAGTAGTCATCAACTCTGGCAAAAGAACAAGATCCCAGGCCTGCTCGGGCCATGAGCCGTAGACATTCAGATGCCTGGCCCAGGGCGAGCATCAGAGGAGGCTGCTTTGGCAGGTTCTGGGACTCTGTGGAAGAGATTACAAGGGATGATCAAAGATTAGTCAAGGACTTGGGCACAGGTCAAAGTTCCCTAGAGGTCGGGGGTATGGACAGAACTCTTGGAACAGAGTTTATTGTCTGGGTGCCCTAACCAGCAGGCAATAGCCCTGTATTCATGACAGAAACCTGAGGACCTTGGCCTTCTCTGGAGTTAGGGTCAGGTTCCCCATGAAGGCCTATGCCAATCTTGGTATTTCCAGGAAGAGAGATGATGGCCACCCACACACTCAAAGGTTAACTTTTGCTTTCACCAGCTGCACTCACCTAAAATGGCGCTGTTGAGAGCAGCACACACAGGCTCCCTCTGAATGGGATCAAGTTGATGGCCAACGGGGCAGTTCCAGGGGTCTGAGTATGCGAGTAGGCTGAAGGCATCCTAAGGGACAGAGCACTCGTGAGAGGAATGTAGCGCACACACCTAGTCCCCACAGCTCCAAAGGGCAGAATACTGCATGGGGCCCAGAGAGCTCAAAATACCTGAACTACAGAGTCAGGCAAAGCTATACCCTCTTTAGATCTTAGGGTGGGGAACACCCTAAACATCCCACATTCCACTGCAGACACGTCTAGAGCCCATTTTGGCCTAGTACTGCTTCCCAGAGCCCCAGCATCAGATGGGGAGCTGCTCTGTGTGAGGGCCTGGCTTCTCCTATACCTGCAGCATCTCCGTGTGGGCCAAATTCTTGCCGTACTCTCGGCCCAGCTGCTCGCTCAATGCCTGCAACTCTCGGCCAAACAGGATGATCCTTTCTGTGGCAGCCTGGTTGCCCCCGCAGAGCTGCCGCCGCGGATGCCCATCGTCTGTATCCAGAGGTCAGCAGAAAACACATTAGAGGACAAAGGGGCAGGAACACAAGGACCCCATGGAGCTACAGCATCTGCCAAAGGCAGGCAAGGGATAGGAGAGCATGCAGGTGGAGCAGCTAAGCTCAGCTGGCATACAGACCGGGAAAGGGGGCGGGGAGACTTGGAAACGTCCCTCCTCCCACCCTGCACAGACCGGGGGAGGTGGGTAGACTTGGAAATGTCCCCCTTCCCATCCTGCACAAATGTGTGGCGCTAGTGAGGCCCACATTCTCAAGCTCCCTTTGGCCTTGAGGGGTCGTAGTGGCTGGAAGCCACCTCAAGGATGCACTCAGGAATGACTAAGTGGTGGCTCAGAACAGCTGAGTTCAGTTTCTCAAGCTGCCAGAGCCTGCCATCATAGCCCCTCTTAGGAGGAAGTGGGTATTTCAACTCTGTGTTGCCCTCTCAAGGAGCACAGGGGCTGGGCGACACGAAGGAACAGCACTGACCCATGCTGGACTCATCTGTCTGCAGGTCTTCGTGCTTGTAGGCACCATTGATGATGCGCGTGGATATGCTTTCCAACACGCCATTGGGGTAATGTTCTGCCTCCATCTCCATCTCGCTGTCGCTGGAGAGAAGAGTGGAGACAAGAGTTGGGTCTCTATCCAGGCTTTGTTTACCATCGCTTCAGGTAAACCCAAGGGGTTTACCCGACGGACCAAAATGGGTCCTGTCGTGGCATCAAACTGAAGGACAGCCCAAGCTTTCTGGGCTCCAAAGCTTTGCCCCCACTACAGTTATCTCCGGGTGCCTGTTACGTGATTCCTATTCTTGTCCCAAAGCTGCCCCTGTGACTCTTCTGAGCTGACACACCTCTTCACTATATCCTTCTCTTCCCTACCAACTGACCAACAGACTGGTTGGGCATCTCTGTGGCCTTGGCAGGAACCCAAACAAAAGTCAGCTTTTAGGTATGCCTAGGACCATTTGGAGCTGCAGCCTACAGCTCAGGTCACCTGACTGTCCATGAGCCTAATTTCATAAAAATTGCTTAACTATAAATACTAGAGGTTCCTTTTCTTTCTTTCTTTCCTTTTCTTTTCTTTTTTTTTTTTTTTTTTTTTTGGTTTTTTGACACAAGGTTTCTCTGTAGCTTTGGAGCCTGTCCTAGAAGTCACTCTGTAAACAAGGCTGGCCTCAAACTCACAAAGATCTGCCTGTTTCTGCCCCCCGAGTGCTGAGATTAAAGGCATGCACCACCTCCACCCAGCTGACCCTACAAGTTCTAATAGGCCCATCCTCCTTGGAAAAGGGATCCCTGTGTAGGCTACCATGTTATCAAGTCTGGCAGGGTCAGCACCTCCAGAGAAAACCAGAGCCAAGGAAATACAGTTATATCTTGAATAGGGACAAAAGCTAGAACCAGTGTTTGGCCTGACTGGTCAACAGGTTGCAATCCAGGCAAGACCTACAACAGAGGTGGGGGTAAGGGCAGAAGGCAGCATTTCAAGGGAGAGACTACCCAGTGGTAGGTTCATTGGGCACAGAACGGAAGCAGAGTGGAGAGAGAGGAGCAAGACAGGCACCTGGTCTCCTGGTTACTGGTACTGCTGTGGGGCTGGGACTTGGTGGAGTCTGTTGAGTTGGACTCGGAGTAATTGATGGAGGACGGGGAAGAGGAGGACGAGGAGGACGAGGATGAGGAAGAGGAGCTGGGTGCGGGGTATTTACTGTGGTTCTGTTTGTTCTTGGTGGATGCAACGCCATTGCTGCAGCTGGGACTGTCTGCTCCTAGAAGCCAGGTGGGTCAGAGAAGGGGTGAGAAGTGGGGCCCCAGGGGTCGCCACTGTGGCCCTTTCCCTTCCACCCAATCCTGCAGACAGTCCTAAGCCCACATAAGGAAAGGTAGGGGGCGGCCACTCTCCTCCACACCAGCTCTTCCCACAGAACTCTGGAGGATGCTGACCTGTGCTGTGCATGTGGGAACTACCAGGGCCGTGTCGGGGGCTGAGGCTGGGGGAGCCAGGGTAGCTGTCCTGGGACTTGGGGCTTCGCGAGCTCAAGCTGCGGACCTCACTGTCGGTGCCATTCACCATCTCCACGAACTGCCGACACCTGCGAAGGGAGCGCAGCGTTGGCGTTTTGTTGCTGTAGAGGGCCAGGCTCTGGAGCTGTAAACCTGACTTACTTGAGCATGAAGAGCAGGTTGGGATTGTGCTCCAGCAGCCCAGGGTAGAAGCGCTGGGTTGTTTCAATGGCTTCGCCCACCCGGCCTTCCAGCACCAGCTTCTGGATTTCTGTAGAGAAGAACATGGTTGTGAGTAACCAGAAGTCAGGTGGGCTGGCTCCTGGCACACTGCCAGCTGGAGAAGCTCACAGAAAAGGCTGAGTGAACCTGGTTGCCCAGGACCACAGCAGAGGGTGGTTTTGGACAGCTGTCACGGAATTCTCAAGAATATGAGGAGAGAACAAGAACTCACAGTCCAGAGGTAGGAGGTGAGTCCGCAGGTCCACTCCTGCAGGGTACAGGAAGCCAGGGAGGTAGCTAGTGAGGGGAGCCCTGGCTGTGAGACCATGATCTTGGGTTGGCCTGAGGAGGCCTCTTTAGACAGACTGCGCTCTCTTCAGGCCTCACGGGGTATGCACTGGCTTGAGCTAAGGTCCACATCTTGACAATCTGCAGATGCTGCAGCATGCTCCGTACTGGGAGAAGAGGTAGTCTACTTCACACTGGCCTCTCTGAGAATGGTACTTCTCTGGCCATCAGCATCTTGCTACTCCTTTCTCATTCAGGCCCTAGGACCTGAGCATCTTGCTGTGAATGACTTCTGGGTCTGAAGCTCTCTCATTTGTTGACTCCAAGTCTAGGATAGGATACCTGTCCATCCACCTGGTTGAGCACAGCTTCTCTAGAGACCCAGACCCAGACACATACACAGAAATGATGTGCTCAGAGAGGCAGGGAGAGGAAACAGCATGGAGGAACAGGGTTCTGCCATGCCAGGATCAGGCCTACGCCTGACTTTCAAAGTGTGTTATATTAGGGAGGCTGCTCTGAGACCTCTGGGGCCGTTGGCTACCCGTGGAGCAGCAAATGAAGGATGGGAGCAGGGACTGGAGCCTGCAAACTGGTCTCCAGGACAGCAAGGACAAGGACTTACTTTGTCTGTTCTTTATGGACGCCTGTTCTTCCTGAATCGTGGTTTCAGTCATTCGGGCAAAAGCAGTGGCTGTGGCACAGTACCCATGATGCACCAGATAAGAAGAGACCATGCTAAGAAAAATAAAAATAAAAATAAAAAGAGCTTAAGGTAACACCCAAGAGCACTGAAGGAGGACAGGCCACAGGCGCCCCCATGAGGTCTCCCCTAAACAGATCTTGGAGGTATGACCCAGACTGGGTAAAGAAAATGAAACCTGCTCTCAGGTGCTCACACTGTCGACAGGAGAGGGCCAGTCACATCTGTGCTTCAGTCTCACAGAAACGGCTGCCTTCTGGGAGACTGCAGCAAGACCAGCTCTGCTAAGTATCTGCCCCAGGGCTGCCTAACATGGCAACTAGACAGGCAGTGTGGCAGCTGCCGGGATACAGAGGATGCCTGCACACCCATATTTGACAGAACTAACCACTAAACTTTAGCAAATGGTGAGGAACGCAGGTGGAACCCTGGGGTTGCCTGCACTGGAGGAAGCACCTTTGTCCCCAGGGAGCCTGCCTGCCATGTGGGGGCACTGGCTCTTGAGTAGCGGTTCTCAACCTCTAGGTCAGGACCCCCATGGGGGCCACATATCAGTATCCTGCATAACAGATATTTACATTACGATTCATAACTGTAGCAGATTTAAAGTTATGAAGTAGCAACAAAATAATTTTATGATTGGGGATCACCAAGACATGAGGAACTGTTTTTAAAGATCACAGTATTAGGTAGGTTGAGAGCTTCTGCTCTAGAGAAATAGAAGCTTAATCTATAGGTCAAATTAATTCCATGATATACCATGGATCAGGGGCCCAAGAATTCAAGGTATCAGGCTGATTTTGCCGGGAAGAGATAGACACAGCACAGTCAACAGGAGCACAATCTTTGTGGAAGAGCATAATGTACAAAAAGTTAACCCCATCTAAAGCTGGCTGAACAGTGCTTTATGTATACATATATGTATATGTACATGCATGTGTACAAAGATGAGCTCTCATGACCTGTGTGGATAGGAGATGTATGGGAAATGTTTTAAGTCTGTGCAACTTTGGCTGTTTGTCTTCTTATGTTTTAAGGGGTAAATGAAATAAACAAACAAAATGCTTGGCATTTTAACATAAACAGAAGAGCAATGTATTTTGAAAAAAAAACAAAAAACAAAAAACCATGGTTCAGATTATCTCATATGAACACCAGATACCTCTAAAATGTATATTCTTGGGGCCGGAGAGATGGCTCAGTAGTTTAAGAACACCTGCTGCTCTTGCAGAGGACCTGGATTTGGTTCTCAGCACTCACATAGTGGCTCATAACCATTTGTAACTCCAGGTCGAGGATCTGATGTCCTCTTCTGCTCTCCACAAGTACCAGGCACACACACAGTGCACATAATATACCTGCAGGCAAAGCACTAATTCGTAGAAAATAAAAATAAATCTCTAAAAGAAAATAAAAATAAAATATAGCTTGACTTAATAATACTGCTTAGCTGGTCAGTGGTGGCACGTGCTTTAATCCCAGCACTTGGGAGGCAGAGACAGGTGGGTCTCTGAGTTTGAGGACAGCCTGGTCTACAGAGTGAGTTCCAGGACAGCCAGGGCTACACAGAGAAACCTTGTCTTGGAAAACAAAAGAATACTTCTTTAGAGGACAATACAAACACAATTTTAAGCATTTATTTATCTATTATTTTATGTATTTGAGTGTTTCCCTTCATGTATGCATATGTACTATGCATATGCCTGGTGCCTGCACAGTACAGAAGAGCATCAAACCCTGTGGGACTGGGATTACAAACGATTGTAAGCTGGCATGAGGATTCTGGGAACCAAGCATGGTCCTCTACAAGAGCGACAAGTGCTCTTAACCTCTGAGGCCCAGAAAGTAACTTTCTGTAATAATGTAAATTCTTTATTATGAAAGGGTTACCTATAGCAGCAAAAGAAATGGGCTGGGGATTCTGGTCAGCAGTACTGTGGTTGCCTAGCATGTACGAGGACCTGGATTCTACTGCTGTCACAGAGAGAGGAAAGGACGCAAAGGAGGAGGAGAGAGGATGGGAGGATGGTAATGCTTGAGTCTCACCAGGGGAGAGAAGCTGTCATGAAGCTGTGACAAATCTATCTCCAAGATAACCTAGCCACTTCCAATATTTATAAAATAAAGCTTTAACAGAACAAAGAATAACAGAACACAAATTATATCCAGGTCTTGGCAAATGCTGCACGGGACATAAACTGGCACCATGGATACATACATATAACAATTCATGTGCTGAGCCCAACCCTCAAAGTAACTCCACTTCTTCTCCTGTCCAACCAGCAAGTATATTGCGGGGAATGGTGTTGCTCTGGCCTTCAAGGAAGCACTTCTCACCTGTGGGCTGGGAACTAGAGGTGGTTATGCTATTCCTTCCAGGTCTGGCTGCCTGGACCTCAGCCCTTAAGGCTACCTTAGTATCAATCCCTCAAGGAAAGAAAGCTGAGTACTGGGGATGCGGCTCAGTGATAGAGCTTTCCTAGCATAAACAACTCTGGAGACAGGGCGGGGCGGGTGGTGCTGGAGACCACTTGGGACTGGATGAGAACATAGCGTATACTGCACTCCTACCCCTGGACCCCTGGTTGGTGCCTTTGCAGAACAATGATCAGGGTTAGCAGAAGCTAAGTCCTTGTCCACTCTTGAGAACCAAGCTTACATCCACCTCCTAAGAGATGGATAAGTAACGGCCATTGCTTCACTCAGGTATGCAGCTGGCTGTGAAATAAAGACCCAAACTTGAGCCTCTGTTGGATCTCAGCAACACCAGCTTCCAAGACAATTTAGACATTGATTAGCCAAGGAGACTGCTAGGCTGATCCTAAGGAAGACTTCCTGATACCACTTTGCCATGGACACAGGGATACTGGGCAGATATTGATCCTGTGAAGTCATCTCAACCGAAGTATGGCAATATGAATTTTTTTAAATGGCTTTTCTTTTCTTAAAAAAAAAAAATTATTTATTTATTTATTTATCTATCATGTATACACTATTCTGTCTCCGTGTATGCTTGCAGGCCAGAAGAGGGCGCCAGATCTCATTACAGATGGTTGTGAGCCACCATGTGATTGCTGGGAACTGAACTCAGGACCTTTGGAAGAGCAGGCAGTGCTCTTAACCAGTGAGCCATCTCGCCAGCCCTTTAAATGGTTTTTCAAGACAAGGTTTTTCTATGTCACCCTGGGACCTGCTCTATAGACCAGGCTACCTCAAACTCAGAGATATACCTGAGTGTTGGGACTAAAGTCATGTGGCAACATGTCTACACTGGGCTGGTAATCTTACACACAGGAGTCTTGTAAGTTGCCTGAGAGGAAGGTTTTTTTTGATTGTTATTATTTTTAATTATATGTATTTTTAATTATATGCATAATTTAAATACATGTATGCAGTACATGTGTGAATTTGTGCAAACTGAGAAAAGCTGAAGATATCAGATCCCCTGGAGCTGGAGTTACAAATGGTTGTGAGCCACCTGACACGGGAGCTGGGAACTGAACTCAGGTCTTCTACAAGAGTACTGTGTGCTCCTAACCACTGAGTCACTCTCCAGCCCAGGCAAGGGTTAACCAGGAGCAGTTCCACAGCACAAAGAGGGGGCCCACTGACAAGAGGGAAGCAGCAGCAGCAGCGTCGTCCGCCAGTGTCCCCAAAAACACACCCCGCGGACAGAACTGTTAGCATCATTTGCAATACTACATAGATCTCCAGGACCGTAAGGCCTAGGGGAGGGGGATAACACTCACTTCTGCAGCACCGCCTGCCACTCGCCAAGCCGGGCACTGATGGGGAAGCCGTGGACAGTGCCCTGGACCTTGGCGCGCCACTCCCGCATATAGTCCTCAATGTCGAACAGGAACGGCTGCTGCCCGAAGTTGGCATCCACAATCTCCCCAGGTGTCTGCAGGCCTACGGTGGGGTAGAGGTTGGCCTGAGGAGGAGAATGATGTCAGTCAGGCCCCTGAGGGCAGCAGGGGTCAATCACATTCTGCCTGCCTCCCTAGCAGAAAAGCTTGAAGGGAGAAGAAAAAGAAAAGCAAGCAAGGCTCAACAAGGAAAAGTCTCCTGTTTTTGCATCAAAGGTCACTAAGTCCCCCAGGCCTTTGGCCAAGATACACAGTATAAGACAGGACTGCACACCACTACACACATACAAATAAAAATGTGCTATGGGGTGGCTTATGGCTTCTCCTGGAAAGAGATGCAGGGCCAAGGACGTCCCTGGTAACCAAAAAGAGGTACATGAGGGGAAGGGATGACGTAGGAAATGAGGAACATAGATGAGAACAGGCGAATGATTTGGTGAGTTGCTTCTAGAGCTGGTAATGGAGACAGAGGCTGCCCCTCTTCCGGTCAGAGGCTTACTCAGCAGAGGCCTTCTGGCCAGCGACGTAGGAGCTCTCTGCATTTACTACCCGCTTACCACGACCAGCTGTAATCAGGTCACAGCCTCACTCAGTGCCTCTTGGGCTTCTAATTGCCCATGTCCAAAGCTTCACCCGCCCCTCCTCCCCATGCCACTAGACACCATTTTCCCAGAAACCCCTACCCACTTTTTTTAAAGACAGGGTCTCATCCAGCCCATTTGGCCTCATGCTCACTATGCAGTTGGTTACCTTGACTGACCCAGCTGCCTTCACCTCCTAAATGCTAGGATTACAGGTGTGTACCACCACCTCTGGCTCCCCTGAGCCCTCTTCACCTTCCGCGCTCAGGTGATGGGTCCTTCACAAGTACCTCATATGTTTTTTTCTGGGCACATGGGGTTCAGCCCACCATGAGGTCTAACCCTAAAGACTTTCTGCTTCCTTTCTTTTCCTCCCATCTTCCACAGCATAGGCCAAGTCCACGGGACATTTCCCAGGCTTCCCAGCATGTGGCAGCACATCATCCATGCTCATGGCTGCTCATTTCATGTCATGTCTCCACACCTAGAAGCTTCCGCAGTCAGAGTCAGAATTCTTCTGATTCTGCCCCCCTTGTCTAGGACAACAGCCCCTTTCTGGGGCCTCCAGGTAGGAAGAAAGGATTCTGATACATAGACAGGAAGTTCAAACATGACTACGGGTACTGCTGTTAAGATTCCGAGGCCCCTTGTATTACAAATGCACTTCCTGGGGCAAAGTGGGACACCCAGGATAATAAAGTCAAGAAACTTCTTTTCAGAACCAAGGCACAGAGACCCATGCAGGCTCCCAACATTCTGAGTAAAGGTTGCATGTGACGGTGCTCGTACAACTCAGTCAAGTAATAGGGTAGAGAAGGAGGGAAAGGACCAAACTCAGCTGACAGGAAACATTCTTTTCAAGTGAAAAGCCCACACAACTCATCTTCCAGGCTTAGGGAAACTCCGAATGGTAGCATGCTAGGTCTCCAGGGGTGCTGACTTTCCTTGGGGATCTCTGAAGGCCTGGATGAGGACCCGATTCCTAGAAGCTCAGGAGCAATCCCTATACGCCACTCCCAGCCCTGTGGCTGAAGTCACAGATTAGCCTGTGCCATGGAATTACCCTGATTGCACCACCATTCCATTACCCCCACCCACAACAACTGCCTTAGAGAATGTCACAAATTTCTGTCACCTGCTAAGAGACGTGGAGGAACACCAGGCCTTGATGAAGAGAGAGGACAGCCAGCAGGTAACCCCCACTGGCACCCTCAAGCTGGCAGCACATCACACATCCCTGCTTGGGGAAAGGGCCAGACTCCACACCCTCTACTTGCAGGTATCCCCACCCATTCCAGGCAGCCCTCAAAAATCCGGGAGAAGGAAAATCCATTAGCAGTACTTACCGGGAGATCTGTGAAGGCTATACCTGTGGGGAGGAAAGGACAATGATCAGGTCACTAGACAGGGATGGCCCCTTGGTCTCCACCCTGTGAACTCAAGGTGCAGATGGTGGCCAAGCATATACTAGGGCCTGGTAGTTTTAGGTCTGGGCCTTCCTCTTGCTGGATAATCTAACCAGAAGGGAAACCAGAACCTCAGGTAATTAATTGCCAATAGTTTTTCCACTTTTGCAAGAACGCCTGCTAGAAAAACTAAACCCAAGTGATCTATCACCTAGGGCTGTTGAAGCTTCCTGATCTAAATGTCTTCACAGACACCTACTGTGTGCTCCCGCCAGTATCGGCTACGACCTGATCCACTCCTCATGCCAGTCCCTTGGAGCAGGCATTCTGCTCATTCTCCCATTACAGACAAGGAAAACAGACTCAGAGTCAGAGGTTAGAGGTGTTGGCAGTGGTGGATCTGCACACATTCCTGGTCTGAGTCTAACAGTCCAAGGGATAGAGAAGTTCCTTACTATCCAGCACTGGCCGACAATGGCCTGTACATCCGAACCCTCCTGTCAAGAGTGGGAAATGCATCTCTAGAGACTTCAGATTTGAGCTGCAGTAAGAGTGGAGGTCATGCCACCCCAAACACATGAGGAGACCTGAGCGGTATCCTTAGAGAGGAGCATCAGAATGTGAGAGCCAAGTAAGCCTCTTCCAAGGCCTCACAGACCTCTTAGGTAAAGTCTTCTGTCATCTGGGAACTGCTCTGTTTTTGGCATTAGAGTTTTCAAGTCACTGACTCCCCAAAGGTCCCAAAGGACTCTCTGAACTCTCATCCAGAAGGAAACAGAAACTTGGCAAAGAGCACAGTGAAGTCTGACAACAGCCTCCGGAAGTGTGCAATATTTCTCAGACTAGTGCACAGACTAAAACACAAGGTAAAGAGAGATGACACATTCTTTGAACAGCTACTTTGCTCTTCAGTGAGTGAAAGTCAAAATCCTTATTATGCTCCCCTGGCCTGAGGTCACGTGTGAGCCTCACATATGGGGTCAGAGTCACAGCACCAGAAGTCCCTCATTAAGGTGCCCTTGTAGATCTTGAAGTATCTAAGATGCTACTCACTCCCAGGCTTGGGAAGATGCTCACAGGACCTTCAAAGAAGGGGACTCCAGCTTCATCTGTTTTACTGCCATGTGACCTTTGGCAAGTTACCCCAAGTGGTCTAGCCCATCTGGAGAAAGGATAATACTAATCCTTTACCTTAAGGGGGAAAAGAAATGAGGCAGACTATGAAAGTTGCTTCATTCACCATGAGGTCTAGGTCCAAGTTGGCTACACAGTAAGAAAACTGCTACAGTCTGGACAGAGGCTGGCACACTCAGACCAGCCCAACTCTGCCTCACAATGGTACCAGGAAAGACAAGTCCTTGAAGGCTGTCAGGACAATAAGGAAAAAACTATTCTCTACTGCACTGTGGAAGGCAAGACTGCTCGCTGATGAGGTCCTGTGAGTCTCACTAAGGCTACTGTGATAATAAGATTTGTAGACCCACAGAAAGAAAGGCCAGGCAAACAGAATAGCCAGACTTGCTGATAAGAGCCCTGGGTAAACAGGTTCTGAGGACCCTGAAGCTAAGAACAAAGGACCACATGAGACAGTACAGAACCACATGAAGAAGAATCTACAAGCACACAGACCACTTATGGACCGGATATCAGTCCTCTATCTCCACTCATCTGTTGAGGAGCCAGGCCCAGTAACAGGACTGGAGAAACAGCTACAAGCCAGCTCGCTCTCAAAAATGCCCCGAATTCAGCAAGAAAGATGACACAGAGACACGAAATGATGACACAGGAGGCTTGAGTGCTATGACAAAGAAAACAGGCAGGGAGGCCAGGGGTAGAATATGTAATTCTAACCCCTGAAGTGGAGGGATTAGAGCCTGAAGCATGTTAGTGATAATAAGACAGCACAGGACATGAAAAGATTCACCAAGCATCTATCACTAAAACCTCATGAAATTTTATGATTCAGAAAATGAAAAAGACGGGACCTATTCATTTTCAATTAGGTCCCCAAAATAGACTCGTGGACCAGATGGTAAAATGTGAGCTTCAAGCTAATATACCCAATTCCCCCACCCCGCCCCCCAGTATTAGGGATGGAAGTCAGGGCCTTGACTGGGCCAATCAAGTGTTCTACCACGGACCTCTACTTTTCATTTTCAGCTCTCTTTTCATTTTTTAACTTTGAAACAGATTCTTGTTAAGATGCCCTGTTGGCCCTGAGCTTTCAAAGTCCCTGCCTCAAGAAGCCTGTGCCACCAGACGGAGCTTAACTGATTCTTTGGCTTTTCTGTATTGTTTTGCCTCATTTAGTGGTACTAAGGATTGAACTTAGATCCTAAAGAAGCTAGGCAAGTGCTCTACCACTGACCTAGATCTCCAGATCACACAACTGGCTTTTAATGGTTGCTGTCTATGTGGGAAGCTTAACTACAAAGGAACTCAAATCTTGGCCTTTTCCTCTTCTAGTATGTTAATGAGTATCTTTATTAAATGATACTTATGTATCATACTTTGGGTTAACAGAAGTTTGAAATTAACACCAAATATTAAGAAATAAACAAGACCACAGAACATTTTTTTAAAGGATAAAAAAATTAGACAATGTACTACCATATCAAGTTTAATTAAACATGTGTAATAGGTCTCTGCACAGGGTCCATGAAAAGCATTCACTAGGCCTCAGGTGCCCTGGCTCACAAAGAGTTCTAATACACATCTATAGTGCCCAAAGAAGGCACTAAACATACAGGCACTATAGGTACAGCATTGTATTCTCCAAATCTTATTTTCCACAAGAGACACCATGCTTTAAGCAAGATGTGGACAAGCTAGGGAGATGTGAAAGGCAAACAGATGAAGGGGTAAGACTGAGCCTGGCTGCAGACAGGCAGGTGAGAGGACGTGCAATGAGAGCATCTAAGAGCCCTTGAGATTCTGGCCGCAGATGAACCCAAAGTGACGAAATAGCTGGATTCAGAAAGCAGAGTAAGGAGCAAAGAACATTCTCGAGATCTTGCCAGTGGGATACCAACAACTGCACCTAGGTGATGGTCAGTCTCAGGAGAGTTCCTCCAGATGGGAACCGGAGGAGGCTCTACCTCTGAGACATGTTCTCAATCACCCATCTTCCTGCCCTTTCCTGAGTGCTCTAGGCTGTGGTGTGCAAAGAATGGCTGAAGAATGTTGGCTCTTAGTTGCTCATCCCCAGTCAACAGCAAACCTAATTCCCTTAGGGCTCTTGATTCTGACTGGCTTATCTCCTAGAAAAACCACACATGTGGAATATTCCTTGACACTGTGTAAATATTTGTCACTATGATTGACTTAATAAAGAAGCTGACTGGCCAATAGCTGAACAGGACAAGGTTAGGTGGGAGAGCCAAACTGAGAATGCTGGGAGGAAGAAGGGCAGAGTTAGAGAAGTCATGAGCAGACAGAGAGAGAAGCAAGATGGGCATGCCATACTGAGAAAAGGTACCAAGCCACATGGCAAAGCATAGATAAGAAATATGGGTTAATTTAAAGTGTAAGAGGTTAGTTAGTAATAAGCCTGAGCTATTGGCCAAGCATTTATGATTAGGACTCTAAATAGTTATTCAAGAGCAGCTGTTGGCACAAGAAAACCCCATATACACATACAGGTTGTAGGAGCAGCAACCAGCCCCTAAAGTCAGCAGAAGCAGGGCCCCAGATTCCAATCCTGAAAAGCTTGGTGGCCTGGTTAGTAAGGTGCTACTAGTTCTCTTGGGAGAAGCAGGGCATGGTCAGAGCAGAGGCCCTTGCAAGGCAGGCAAACCCAGCAGTTAGGGACCAAGTTGGGACAGTGTGGCCATTTACTAGTCAGTATCGTCCAAGTCCCTTTCTCTGAATTTTTTTCACATGTTTTAAATTTTAATTAATTCACTTTTTCTTGTTTATGTATATATTCACGTGAATAGGGGCACCCATATGCCAAGGCACATGTGTGGAAGTCATAGGTCAACCTTGAGTAGTTACATAATCCAGGCTGGCCTTTAACTCATAGAAACCATCTTGCCTCAGCTCCTGAATGCTGGGACTTCAGGTGGATGCCACATCTGGCATGTTCTTTCTCTTTCCTCCCTCAAAACCATTTTGTTTGTATGGTGCTCTTATAGTCTAGACTGGCCTAAAACCCTTTATATAGCTGAGGCTGGCCTTGAACTTCTGCTCTTCCTGCCTCCTTCCTCTAGTGCTGGTCCAGCTAAAGTTCTAACGTTAAGTTTCTATACATGTAGAGAACAGCTCCTTTCAAGGAACCCATCAGACCCGCAATTTCCCCACTGCTAAATTCCTTTACTTCACATGGTTAACATTCCACTAGTCTGGCTCCTTCCTCACCTTTCTCTTCTCCAGTGCACCACCACCCCAATGTCCTGCTGGACCTCCAGACCCACTTCTCAGCCCATCTCTAGCATTGACCTCCAGGTGCTTCCCTTTTCTCCTGGCCCCTTTTCCAGGCCATCCCTCCATTTCTCTCTGGATTTTTATTTGTAACTCCGTCAACACTGCCAGTGTTCTGTCCCTATTTGACTCCTTCCTGTTTACCTTCTGTCTGACAGCCCTCACTGCTACTTTCAGTACCCCACCATCAGAAGAGCAGGCCAAAGTCTGGGCCAGGTTATAGGCATGCAAACCCTAACCCAAACCATAACCACTGATAACTACACTTAGGGTCCTCAGACTTTTTCTCCATCAAGTACAACCGACAAGACAGGCCAGGATCATGACTAGAATGTGCTGCTCTCAGCAACCATCCTGGGCTCATCCAGTAAATGCTGCTGAAGGGACAGGTTAACAACGGGCATGCCTGTTGCCTTCCATTCACCTGAAAAGGCTCCAATGGCTGGAAGTGACTGCAGTCCCCCAGAGCTGTGCAGAGGCTCCATGATACTACTTTGACTTCAAGGCCTGCCTTTGAGCTTCTCATCAATCACAGTGGCTCCACAGCCAGACCCTCCAAGGTCTCCTATGCACCTACCAAGGCTGTGGCCATTCTTGGTGTAGAAGCAGGTGCCATTGATGAGGTTGACACAACAGCCAATCACATCCCCTGTGGTGAATGTGGGACCATAGGGCTGGCCTGTCCCCGAGGAGCAGAAGGAATGTCCATCATCGCCATGGTAACCATAGGAATGTTTGTCCCAACCTGTGGGGAAGAGAGCAGCAATAGCTTAGAGTCTGTACTTGATAGAAAACTCTGAAGGTCTCAATTATATTGCCAGGTCCCTTGTCCATCTTAGCCAGCACTCAGGAGTTTGGTCCTTCACAGAGCTGCCTATGGACATGGTCTTGCGGAACTGCACACATATTCTGACAGAGTCCACCAGATCATTACCTCTGAGGAGCTGAGGCAAGAACCAAAACCTGGAAGGGACTCATCAAAAGACAAATGCAAAACAAGAAGCCTCGTCAGGCAGTGGTGGCACATGCCTTTAATTCTTGAACTCGGGAGGCAGAGGCAAGAGGATCTCTGTGAGTTCAAGACCAGCCTGGTCTACAAGAGCAAGTTCCAGGACAGGCTCCAAAGCTACAGAGAAACCCTGTCTCGGGGAAAATAAAAAATAAAAAAGAAACAAACCCCAGGGGGGGGGGGGCGATAGGGAAAGTCTCAGTCATGAAGGAGCAGGCTAGAACTTATTAGAAAGTCTATACTGGTGGGTTGTTTTGTTTTCCAGACAGGATCTCATCAAGTCCACAATCGCCTCAGACTCACTATGTAGCTGAAGCTAGTCTTGAACTTCTGATCCTCCTACCTCCATGCCCCAAGTGCTAGGATTCCAGGAGAGTAGCAGCATACCCAGCTGTTAAAATATGTCTGTGTGTTTTGATGGCGCAGTGGTGGCGCACACCTTTAATCCCAGCATTTGGGAGGCAGAGACAAGCAAATCTCTGTGAGTTCAAGGCCAGCCTCCTCTACAGAGTAAGTTCCAGGACAGGCTCCAAAGCTACTGGAGAAACCCTGCCTTGAAAAACAAAAAAACAAATAAACAAAAAAAGTGTGTGTGTTTTAACTGGGGAGTAATTTAATCTTTTCTTTTTGATGGTACTAAGGATTGGGGATTGAACTAAGAATCTTGGGAATGCTAGGCAGGCACTTCAACATTTGGTTCTACTAATTCTTTTTTTAAAATATTTATTTATTTATTATGTATACAATAGTCTGTCTGTGTGTATGTCTGCAGACCAGAAGAGGGCACCAGACGTCATTACAGATGGTTGTGAGCCACCATGTGGTTGCCAGGAATTGAACTCAAGACCTTTGCTAGAGCAGGCAATGCTCTTAACCACTGAGCCATCTCTCCAGCCCTCTACTAATTCTTTTTTTACATTTTATTTTTATGTATTTATTTAGCCCTTTTTTTTTTTTGAGACAGGGTTTCTCTGTGTAGCCCTGGCTATTGGTTTCAAACTCACGGAGATCCACCTGTCTCTGCCTCCAGAGTGTTGTGTTTAATTTACATTTTATTTTTTTTGTTTGTTTGTTTATGTTTCTTCGAGACAGGGTTTCTCTGTGTATCTCTGGCTGTCCTGGAACTCACTCTGTAGACCAGGCTGGCCTCGAAGTCATAGAGAGCCACCTACCTCTACCTCCCTGAGTGCTGGGATTAAAGGCATGTGCATCCACCACCCAGTTAACTCACATTTTAAGACAGGATCTAAATTGCCTACATTGGCCTTAAGTTTAAGATTCCACTGTTTCAACCTCACCTGACAAAATCCTTCCTTTGTATGTTTTCTGTTTGAGTAAAGGAGATTAAATCCAAGGCCTCACCTGTGCTAAGCATACTATAATACTGACTATACTGCTGGCTCCTCAGCGGTACAAGGCATACTATATATAATACTGGCTCCTCTTCCATTTTAGCAGTACAATTCAAATTAGCTTTAACAAATGTTTTGTGTTACCACCAAGACAGTCGACTGTTGCCAAGTGTAATAGTGCATGCCTTTAATCCCAGTACTTCAGAGGCAGAAAGGCAGGTGGATCTCTGAATTCTGGGTCTGCCTGATCTATTTTAAAGAGTTCTAGGCCAGGGACTGGAGAGATGTCTTAGTGCTTAAGAGACATCTTAAGCTGCTCCAAAGGTCCTGAGTTCAATTCCCAGCAACCACATGGTTGGTGGCTCACAACCATCTGTAATGAGATCTGGTGCCCTCTTCTGGCATACAGGCATACATGTGGGCAGCACACTGTATACACAATAAATTAAGTTTAAAAAAAAAAGTTACAGGGCTGGCTACAGAGTGAAACACTGTATCAAATTACAATAAGAACTGGGAGGCTGGAGAGATGTATCAGTGGTTGAGAGAACTTGCTGCTCTTGCAGAGGATCCAGAACCCCATAAAGCAACTCAGGAAATCTGATTCTCTCTTCTGGTACTATATACACATGATACACATACACATGTAGGGAAACACTCATGTGGATAAAATGAAAATAAATAAGTTTTGTTTGGTTTTTGTTTTCTGAGACAGGGTTTCACTGTGTATCTCTGGCTATCCTGGAACTCACTCTGTAGAGCAGGCTGGCTTTGAACTCACAGAGATTCACCTGCTTCTGCCTTCCAAGATGCTGGGATTAAAGGTGTGTGCCACCACTGCCTGGCTATAAATAAGATATTTTTAAATCCCAGAATGGTATGTATTTCCTCAGGAACAGCAGGGTGGTTTGGAGATAGCTCTGAAAAATTAACAAAAGCCTACTCCTGGAAGTTTGCAAAGGGTGACGGGATGTGGAAGGAGCAGAGAAGACAGATAACATGTAAGTAAACAAGCAAACAAGAAATACCTGGTAGAGACTAGAGAGATGGCTCAGTGATTTAAGAGCACTGGCTACTTTTCCAGAGGACCTGGGTTCAATTTTCAGCACCCATATGGCAGCTGACAATCATCTCTAGCTCCAGTTCCAGGAGATTCAAAGTCTTTCTCCTGGCACTGCATGTACAGATGCCATATATTCTGGCAAACACTCACACACATGAGCAGAGTTCTACTTGCCAAGAAGATCAGAGGGAAAGACACTTTGGATGAAGGGAATATGATCAGTTCATCTGAGTAAAACAAATTCCCACAGGTAGTTAGGAAGATAGCAGCTCTCAAAGTCCCTTGCAGCCATTGTTCTAACCTCATAGAGAAAGTCAGTTTAGGAGCCTAAAGCAGGGAATAGAGACAAAAGATACAAAGAGCCCCACGGAACATCTGGGTACCTGAGATTGGGCACCTGTTTGCCCTACCAGGGATCAGTGAGCCAAGCTGGTCAGAGATAGGTTCTCTTCCTTAATGCAGTTAAGTTCTCTGACAACAGCAGCCCTATTTAAGCATCCTTTGTCCACACTACCTAACATCTGGTTCAAGTAGGAGCTTAGTGGTAGAGTCTGTCTAGCACACGTGAGGTGCCACATATAAAGATTAACAGTGAAGGTTTTTGCACTTTGGAAAGAGACCTACAGCTAGGTGGCAGACGTAACTCTGTCCAAACAAACACCTTTATTCCTCTGGTTTTCCATTCCTCATCTATGAAACAAGGCAGAGGATGCAATATCCCTAGAAGCTTGAGAATCATCTATGCTGCTAACTAAGTCCCCTTCCTACTTAGGGGACTAGTAGTCATGCCTAAGGAAGCCCCCTCCTACCCAGCACCCTTTCCTTAAGACTACTACACTCTTTCCCACTCGTGTCTAGAGCTAACAGAATGCACTCGTCCTTCTCTAGATGAGCCTGGTATAAAGTTGGGTATGTGTCTAGTAATGAGATTTGCCATTCCCACTATAAGACCACAGACATGAGGTCAGTGATAGACCGCCACGCATGCTTAGAACCCTTCTGGGTTTGATGTTCAGCACCACAAAACAAAACAAGGACTAAAGACAGCAGGACACAAAGGTCATAAGAGGTCAAGTAGGTACTACCGTATGGGTCAGGCTCTGCAGGGAATCATATCCAGTTAGCTCGGATTCAGAAAGATGGGCTGGGGCTGTGTAAATGGAGACAACACTCTAACAGAATGCCATCCAAACTCACCATCCCTCCTTCTCCTAGGAAATTAGGTATTGCTACTCTCAAAGGGAACTGATTTCATGGGCACCCCAACAGGAAAGTCAGTGTCAGGGTGCCCTGCCACATATCAGTTACTTAACCAAACGCCAATAACACAAAGGGAGGGCAAGCTCTATTCAGTCCAGAAGGCTCCACGTGTACAGTTTAGGAACCCCAGTACCACCCACTTCCCCTGACTCATCATCAAATTGGGAAGACCTAACACGTAAATACAGGGTGGCTGAGGAAGTGGCTCATTGTTTTGGCATCCCCAGACGCCATGCATGGGACATCCCAGAGGTGAGTGACTCTCCATGGGAGTGCCAGGACTCCAGCATGACTGCTCTGGGAGCCCACCCACGCCACTCCCATCCACCAGGACACATCAAGAGCTTCAGTCTCAAAGTACCAGGGAGTGGAAGACTCTACTGCCAAATCACATCATTAGTGCATTAGGTCAAAACTCTGGAAGGTGGCCTAGGCTGGGGCTGCCCACTAGGCCCAGCCCAATGCTGTCCATATAAAGAGGCCAGCCCATGCCTTACCCACAAAGCTAGCCTGAGCCTATGCCTTCAAACCAGCTATTTTCCCACATCCCACTCAACAGTGGACTTTGGGATCAGAGGACTTGATTTTATTTCAGTTGGGGTCTATGTTGCTCAAACTCACAGGTTCAAATGATCTTACTCAGCATTTCAGTCTGAATCCCAACTCTTGCACTCAGCACCTGAGTTCACTCGGCTGCATTTCTTTCAGCTATAGCATGACTGAGCATGAGGTACAAGTCACAGGAAGTACTTCTAGTAAGGTTCTTTCCTCTCACCGTGACCTTGAACACCAGCTTAGCGATCAATTACACTAGGGTGTTCTGCATTTCTAGTTCCCTTTAGCCCTGCAGTGGCAAGCCAGGGTCACCATCCACCCTCTCTTAACAAACAGCTGGAAGGGTCCACTCGCAAAAGACCCAGGCCCACTCTGTTCTTCGTTGTCCATGGCCCTTATAGAACATGCAGCATTCAAGAGCCATGCCCAGTGGCTCTCAAAATTGTACTCTCGGACCTGCTGTGGGAAGGAATGTGCTGGGCTGGATGGCCAGGGGTTTTCCCAAG